CCCAAACCCTAGAACCCAAACCCCCGAAACCCCAAACCCTAGAAGCCAAACCCCGAAACCCTAAACAGCTTGCAGGTCGGAGTTCAGTGCCCGACATTTGGCCACGGTCCTCTGGTCCTTTGCCAAAGCCCCGGCTGGAAGATTGGACACAGCTCCTCGGATTGCGAGCACCGCTGTTTGTTTCAAGGGTTCTTGTTAGGGCTGCTCTACAGGGGTTACTGCGAGGTTTTGTCTGTAATGGTTCAGGGTTTTTTGATTGAAGTTGGTTCTAAGGATGGGAGGTGGTGCTGGTGCTGGTTGTGGTACTGGTGCAGCTGCTGGTGTTGCCGGTTGTGTTTGTCGTTTGTTGAGTCCGTACACATAGAATTCCCAGCATTAACGTGTCTTGCGCTGCTGCTTGCATGGCCGACTTACAACATTCACTAGGAACTCGCTTCAAAGCCGTGTCAGGTTCACGGACTGGCCTGCAGCCCCAAACCTTTACGCCCAACCCCTCAGCCCCTCATCTCAAATCTTGAACAGCAGAAATTGAACAATTTTGTGCCTCGCACCCGAAACCCTAAGCCCCAAACCTAAGGCCATAAACCCAGAATCTCAAACACTGAACCTTAGATTTTTGACCTTAAGTCCTAACCATTCAAACTACAAAACATAGACCTTCAAGCCTGAACCCTGATCTCGGAACCCAAACCCTTGGACCTGAAACCCGAAAGTACAAACCATAACCTGTTCAGCAGGTCGAGCAGACATGTACGTGTGTGTGGTTGCGTGTATATGTGTGTTTGTGTGTGTGGTTGTGTGTGTTTATTGTTCAGCATTAAACATAAATGACGGTAGTATACAAATGCAGATACCCAACAACCAGTGCTTCAACGAAGAAGTGTTGTATGTGTATATATATATATATATATATATGTATGTCTATGCACATATATATTTATTTGTGGACAAATGATCCACACTTGGTTCGAGGCGGCTTCTCGACCAAACAAGAACCCCTACAGAAGGAGCCCTAAACTCACCCTAAAGCCTAACCTTAACCCTCCAGGTACCTACTATATAGGGCCTGAGGGGCTCCAGTACCCTATATAGTAGGTTTTTTGGAAGGTTAGGGTAACACTTGATGTCATCAGCCCCGAACCGTAGAACCCACGAGTGCACAGGTGGCATCGCTGGCGACAGAGGTCCCACGTCTCTTGCCGGTGCCTGTCCTTGAAGCAGCCAAGGGGTTTGGGGTTCCTGTAAATGGCTCCCTTAAGGATTGTGCTAAGGTGTGACGACAAGGCCTTCTGTGAGAGTTTAGGGTTCAGGGTTTAGGGTTTAGGGTTTAGGGTTTTGGGTTTAGGGTTTAGGGTTCAGGGTTGAGGGTCTAGAGTTTGGGGTTCAGGTTCTGGGTACGGCTCGGAGTTATTTCCTCAGTTGCACCACTCCGACCTCCAAAGTGTTGCGTCTCGGAAACTCTAGCACAATACTTGTATAGTGTAGTAAAGTAAGTAAAATATAGTATAGTGTTTATTAGAGTATTACTTGCTATAATTTCGGTCTGCCTTAGGTGTCTGGCCGTCCTGCCGCTTTCTCTGGCTGTGTCGCTCTAAACACCCTCATGCCTTGCAATTCTGTTGTCTCCTCATTGTCACTGAAGAGTCGGATGAGAGGTATCCTTGAAATCACGGGGTTTCGGGGGGGGGGGACTCTATTGAGCATGGAAGAAGCTCCCAGGTTCTCTAAAGCACCCCTGAGCTTCGCCAGAAGACTTCATGGAAGCCGAAATGGCTCCCAAGTCCTAAATCCTAAGCCCCCAAGCCCTGTGCCTTAACCCTTGAAGTCCTGAACCCTAGACCTTGAACCCATGTCCTGACCCTTGAAGTCCTGAACCCTAAACCCCTGAAACGTTTAGCCACAAGCTCCACGCCTGCAAAGTCTGAGGACATGTCTGCACAGGGCCTGGCGAACTGTTTCTTTGCCTTGGCCAGCCATGGGCCCTGAGTCCCGTGGGGGGTTTGGAAAAGGGTAGCTATGGCTAAGGGCTTGGGGTGTAGGGTTAAGGGCCTGGGCGCAAAACACACCCTAGGTGGTCCCCATACGACGACTACACTGCAATGTCCATCTTCATTCCCCATGGCAACGGAAATACCGCAGTTCCCGTAGTCGACAATGTTGGAGGTAAGCCAGGAAAATTGCGCACCAGCCGTATGACCCCAAAGCGCAGGATTTGGGGTCTCGGCTTTGGCTGGGGCTGCTTGAGCTGCTTGAGGCTTGACGGAGGGAAGATAGAGAGCTTGGGCCACTGTGTTTAGGGTTTAGGGTTTAGGGTTTAGGGTTGGCCCTGTCGTGTTACCAGTGCATGCGATGTATGTTTTGGGGTTTCGTGTTGCTAGTGCCATTGGTCTCACGTGCACCGGATATGAAAGGATGTTTTGTGGTTTCGTTGTACGACCTGGTAATAAAAACGGGGCCTCAATAGTTGGAACTTGGTGTATATTATACTGTTCTGTATACGAACAAGAAGATGATCTTACTTCCAAGCATTCCGGCTTGTTAGGCGAGTTTACAGGACCTGCTGAAATTACCCTTTATAACCTGAATCTATAGGCGCTGAGAAGTGTGATTCGACAGTTCAAGGCATGCTTTCCTTCCGCAGCCGCTATTGGTTTGCAATTTTGTCCTTTGGATTCGACTGGAGTGCTTACAATTGGAAACACAGAGATGGCCGCTGTGATCTCGACGCTTGTCTAAACCCTTTATAAACTCTTCTATGCCCCCTGATCGAGGCCCTGGCTAAACCTAAACCCTAAACCCTAAACCCAAAACCCTAAACCCTAAACCCTAAAACCCTAAACCCTAAACCCCAACCCCCAAATCTGTTTCCAATTCTGAAACAAGGCCCGCCCTAAAATGAATGAGGCTCTTGGTTACTTCGGTTGTCGTCTTTAGGTGATGTTTTTGCGTTGTAGGGATCTCCGACATGACTATTTTTGCTTCCCTATGGGAGATATCGGTATTCTACCTACACCCTAAACCCCTAAAGCCCGAAAGTTAAGCCCCGAAACCACCAAAACTCTGGACGCCCAAACCCCTTAACCCCCCCCCCAAACTGCTCAAACCCCCCAAAACCTTTAAACCCTAAAGTCATGCAGGCTCTGAACACCAAAGACGGTTTTATGTTCATGTGAAACTGGGCCCTCTCATTCTGGGGCCCATGGGCTTTAAGGCGTGGGTTTAGGGTGTAGCATGTTGTAGGTTTCCGAGTTCATGGCTTGTGTAGGATTTGGAATTCAGGCGTAGGAGTTATTGGGGGTTTCAGAGTTTAGGGTTTAGGATTGGGCTTTTCGCGTGGATTTGCATCGTTGACGGGTTCGATGCGGAGGTTGACCGAAAAAGAGGGACTTAGGGCAACTATGAGGATGACATAGCATCTGTTATGTTCATGAGTTTGGATACGGAGGTTGGGGGTGTTGGTTGCCGTCGTCTTCAGGCTTAGGCCCCATTAAAGTGAATTGACTCCATGATATCGTGCTCGAGTGTTCCGTGACTGTTCTAGCAGATGCTTGGCAGCTGAGCGGTCACAGCCTTTGTCCCCGTCCGGCTTGGAACATCCTACCAGTAACACCATGGCTAGCAGGACCGCTTTCGCCCCATGACTCTATGGCTTTTCGCTTGGTTTGGGTGGGAGGGCGGGTGCTGTTGCCTGCGGAGTGGTCTTGCATCCAAGGGAGTTCAAGAACGGCTATGCCCAGGATAGCCCCATGCATCTTGGACTGTTTAGGGCTGGGCTTGGCTTCTCAGCAGGGTTTAGGGCTTTTAAGGGTTTCGTTAAGGAGGGCTGCTTAGGGTGCAGGCACAGGGCCTACGGTTACGGCTTAGGATTCAGGTCCGCGGGGTTTTGGCTGATGCCTTTCCCCTGTTCAGTTTCGAACGCCGAACGGTTTCGCATTGATGGTGCATGATGACGAACGCAAGGGCTCCAGTTACCTAAATAGTAGGTTACTAACCCTATATTATGTACCCCAGTAACCTACTATTTAAGTAACTGGAGCCCT